GTAAATTAAAGGTGAGACAAGGAAAAACAACAGGAGTGAGGAGTGAGTAGGGGAAGTATTTGTTAAATTTTGTAGTACATTTACTAATAAAAATAAAAACAAAAGGCTTTGCAGTAAAAAACTATAAAATACTGTACATTACACTTCTTCACTATTCTTTTTATGCAGATATTTTATATGTACTTACGTGTGTATGGCTTTTATCTCTCACATTTTTTGGTTCTACTGTATGTTTTGCCTTAGAAAAATGTAAAATCAGACTGAATCATGAAATGTAAAACAAGAGAGAGAGAAATGTTTGAAAAAGAGTGTAAACACTGGGTTCAACAGCTTAAAAATCTGTCCAAACAATGCACCCTTCACTTGAATAAATAAAGGGAGGAAAAAAATATAATAAATAAACAAAGAAGAATTAATAGAGGCAAGCTGTGGGCAGCAGCTGAGAGAAAAACACAAAAACAGTTATTTGGCAACTCCTACTGTATTTCTTTTGGGGGGTTTTTTTTTCTGGGTTTATTGTTCTTGATGATTAACCACATGACCAGTGGCACAAGTCAGCCATTATAGAAAACATTAACACTATGCTGTCATTCAGCAAACTTTTCTTTTTGAAGGATATTTTAAAGCTTTATTATTTGAAATATCCTTCAACAACCTAATTACTGTACAGTACATACTTGTACATGTACAAGTACGTTTCCCGAGTCTCCGACTGCTGCAGATTTGATAATCTATAGAATTAAATCTCACCCAGTTCTTTATTGCACATTTAGGCTCAGACATTTGCATGATTTATAAGCCATAAAAGCCTAAAAATATGCAGTGCACATTGCATTTAGCTCAGCGCCAATCCCTCTAAATTGAGCTATATAAATTAAACTGCTCAAGCGAGCCTATCTTAACAGGTCTCCCTAACACAGAATGGAAATGTATGATAATTAATGAGAAGCTAAATTGGGTATAACAACGTGGATCCAGGCAGGATACAGACAGGCTCCTTCTGTTAGGGATCAAATTAGATGTCACGGATCAGCGTGGTGAAAAACTACAGCTTCCATACGATGAGTACTCCGAGAGGACGACGCCACTTTTCCATGAACAGTACCAAAGTGGGAAGGTTAACTCTCAGCAATAAATGGAAGCCTGGGAGAATTTGAAAGAAGCTAATGAGAGGCGATAACATTCACTGCAGACCTTAATTTCAAGGATGGTGGTTGGGGAGGATGGGACCATGCTGACATATAACTGAGAGAGGGGGGGGAGGGGCTAGAGGGGGGGATCACAGTGGTGTTTGAAAGACAAAGCAAAAGCAGGAACATGAGTGTGTGTGAGGCAGACCGGGAAACATGTGCTGACTGAGACCCCATGGGTCCAGAACAGGATTTTCTTTTTTTATGTAGATAAGAGGTTCTGAAGGATATGTCACGTCAGCACTTCCACGACTGTTTGGGGTACAGACTGAAGTGGACCAATTAATCCTGGCACCCCAGATGCTGTTCATTGTTCAGTGTATGTCCCTGCATTAGAGCATTGATGATTGCTGAGGAGTAAATCCCAAGTCGAGTCGACGAGTTGTCAGAGATGTCCTCACATGTAACTCTCCATACTTTACTTTTGTACTTTTTATTTTGAAGAGAACACAGTTGTTCTGTCTGCTCCCAGTCAGATGCTCGTATCTCAAGGGACTTTTTTAGATTTGGTTTTGTGACAGTTTCGTCCTCCAGGACGGACAGTACGGAGTTCCGCTGCTCACGCAGCTACTCCATTATTACATATGTAGAATTCCACAGCACTGCAACGTCAATTTAAACTTTAAACTTGAGCTATTTAAATAGCAGC